TTTATTTATTTTATTTATTTTTATATAATAATAATACATAAAATAAAAATAATATAAAGTAAATATAATTTAAATTTAAATTAAATATGTTTTTTTTTTTTAAATACCTTATGATTCCAGCTTGTCACTCATCTCACAGTTTTACTCTGACAAATCTTACAAGTAATTAAAGTGATTCTTGATTTGACTCATTTTTGTTCACCAATCAAATTTTGCATAAGTCATTGCATAATTTTATACGTTTACAAAACTTTTCTGAGAACGCTATTGAGTGATGACTGACACAAATCAGTTAATCAGTACTGTCAACTTATTATTTAACCAAACAGTCCAAACACACTATTTGACTAAAATGAATCAGAATATAAAGTAAAAAAATTTTACGTCCAGAAACACCACAGTCCCTCATTTCTCCTCTTGCTGATTAAGACTGAGGACACAATGAGGGCTGGCTTGGCAGGAACAGATATAAATACGCCTGCACCCTTCATCACCTTTTAATCAAGAGAGTGATTACGCTGTGGCAGTGTGAGCGTCTCAGAAACTCTCTCTGCTTTCCTCCGGCACTGATTTAGACACAGTGTCCACTAGTCTGCTGCCAGGGTTTATGTAATATTTTAAATACGGCCCTCTCAGATAACACTTAGCACTCCTATGTGACTCTCCTCTAGGACACAGCAGTGATGCTGACCTACTGTCTCCTTCATTATCATGTTCATCTGTGTGGATTAAGTCTGTTAATATTATATATTGAGATCTATTTTGATCTGTTTTAGCTCATGGCTAGCAAAACGCCATCCCGTAAAAAAGCTCCCTATTTAAAGAGCTCCACTGTACTCTGAAGGGAAACTGTTATCGCCCCATGTTCTCCCACAGTCTTTTTTTCTGGTTTAAGGGTGGTCCAAATGAAGACTAAAGAGTTCCAGGTTATTGCCCTTCCACACTGAAGTCTTAATTTGTCTTTCTTGTTTCTCTGCAGGCATGCTGACCATCACAGACTTCATCAACATACTTCACAGATACTACAAATCACCCATGGTACGTAATGCATTCTGTCTTTTGTAGTTTTTTCTAGTTTTCAGAAGAAATACTGATCTCTTAGGCCGGAAACATACTCTCAATTTCAGACTCTATTGTGTTAAATGTCATAGCTATTTGCAGAAATGTACGCAGAGGTACGTATTTTTATGAGACTGGGTTGCTATTTAGCTATTCATTATTTTATTATTATTTTATTTATTTTCTTATTTTTTTAGATAACAGAACTTTATATATGGCACTTCTTATGTTATTTTTTCTAATTTTCAGCAGAAATAGTGAACTCTTAGGCCCGAAACATAATCTTGATTTCATGAACTATTGTATTAAGAATTTTGTTTTGTTTTTTATTTTATTTTGTTTTGTTCACTTTTAAATGTATATATGGCAGTTTAATGTTATTTTTTTTCTAGTTTTCAGAGGAAATACCAAACTCTTGTGCCCAAAACATATTCTCAATTTCAGACTCCATCGTGTTAATAAATGTCAGTATTTTTATTTATTTATGCGTCTATTTATTCTTGTTTATTTTTTTTAAAAAATTTTTTCTATATGACATAACATAAGGATGGCCAAATATAAAGTTTTTTTTTTTTCTAGTTTTCAGCAAAAATACTGAAATTTTAGACCCAAAACATATTGATTTCATGCACCATTGTATTGATAAATTTTATTTTATTTTTTAATTTAATTAATTAATTTATTTTTTGCTTCGTCTCTTAATACTTCAGTGATATGAAGTGTACATGTATACAGTAAAAGTGCTGCATTTAGCTTTGCTGGCTGGCAGACGGGCTGTTTATAGCCACAAGACTTTTGTGAACCTCACATCATTTAAAATAACCTACAGCGCTCTGCCATGTCTGTTCTCAAGTCACACCGAGCTCAGGAATCAGAATCACACGTTCCAGAAACACCTCAGCGTCTGTTGTCTTTTGTGCTAATAATTGCTCCTCAAAGTCATTTTAAGTAGTTAAATTGATGTGGATAGTAAATAAATTGCTTATTTTCTCACATCGTTTATGAAGTTATACAGCTGTCATTTAATATTTTCTTTAATTTACGATATGGAGTTGCTTCTTACTATATAATTCACAGCCTCAGATTCGCAGTACAACTTCTCTTCCTGCTCATCAATATTCATAAACTCATATCCTTGTTTTAGCGTTTTGTTCTTGAATATAGATTCATGTGAATTTATGCAAGAGCAAAGAAACCACTAATCACTTTGAATAAAAGCAACATCCTCTCATCCTTTCACACCCCATCACTTCTTTTCTGCAGACACAGGAAGTAGTTGAAAATGCTGTAAAGCTTCTTCCTGCGTTTAGAGGAAAGGCAGCTGTGGCTTAATTATTTATATTCATATGCGTATGCAAAATACTGACGATAATCTCCACTAGACTGACACAACATCCTTCAGAAATCATTGTAATATGATGATTTGGTGCTCGAGTTTTTTATTTTATTTATTTATTTATTTGTTATTGTTATTAATATTGAAAACTGGTGCTGCTTAAAAGGCTTGGTTTCGGTTTTAACCTAATCAAGATCTACTCCGCATTGAGGTTCTATATTTCTCTAATATTTTGAATGAATAACGCAGCAGCAGCGCGTCCCGTGGGCTAGACTAACAAAACATTAAAATACAACAACGTCACTTCCATCATCATCACCGCATCTCGCGCGCCACTGATGACGCTCCCTGACGCACTCCTAACATTCAAATACAAATGTTTATTTTAAATTCAACTAATATTCATTCTTTATTCAGTAATATGATGATTTGGTGCTCGAGTTTTTTATTTTATTTATTTATTTATTTGTTATTGTTATTAATATTGAAAACTGGTGCTGCTTAAAATATTTTTGTGGAAACCATTATACTTTTTTCAGGATTCTTTGATGAATAGAAAGTTCAAAAGAACAGCATTTATTTGAAATAGTACTCAGAACACCTCATGGCTTTGATTTGGCCCACATTTAAATATCAACACCAGTTCAGCATTTAGCAATTTAGCCTGACCTAAAAAACAATCCAGTGAACTATGAAACTATTTGAAAAGATTAGCCTGTCTTAACAGAAATCATTTACACCCAGAAGTCTTAAATGTTAAAATGTAGCACATAGGGCTGGGCGATATAGCTAAAAAATG